AATAATACTTTTCATTGTCAACACATTATCATCTTTCTCTCGATCACGAATACACAATAAATAAATATTCATTCATTCAATTATCACGCAACTATAATTTCACAAAAAATAATTATACTAGCAACAATTGCAACCATAAATTCTGATAAGAATTTTGGAACAGTTAAGAAAAGGATTAATGTAGAAACACAAAGTTTGATTTGAACAATTAATATATGGATTATATATGATTTATATAAATATAAATTAATAATGCAATAATTTAATTATATGAAACATATTTATACATACAGATTTCCTTTTCTTTAACTATTCTCATGTACAAAATGCACATTTACTCGTATCGTGTTTAAGATTAAATTCTGTCGATTGCTTAATTTTTTTGTTTCAGTTGTGACGCCTTTCACATTTCACATATCTGAAATGTAGTTACCTATATGTCTTTAAAATTACATACAATCAATTATTCTAAATATATTTTTCAAAATGATATTTTTTATATTTAAGTTGAGTTACTCAATTGTTTCAATGACTTGATTTCTGTCTTAATGTGTTTCACATATTTTTGCGCTATCTTATCGTAATACAGTTTTTTTATTGAGATCAGCAATATACTTTTTTTTTACTTCACGTAATATACGAGAATACTATCGTAGATTTATAAAACGTTTAAAAAGTGAACATAATTCGCTATTATTTTCTTTTTGTTATGAGCTATGTCGTTGATATTATATGAAAACAATTGAATAGCTAAATTCATTATAACACTGGTTATATTTGAAATTAAGTTCAATAAAGTGGTGTATAATGTATTGATCGTTCTTTGTTGTGTTGCTTTTTCATTTTTTATTTACGCTTTGATTTTATAAAAGTTGATATGAAAAAACTAACTAATATGATTGACTACGTTATAAAAATCAAAGGAGGTGACTCAGCCGATGTACAGAGCATTTCAATTTAAATTCTGTTCTTTAGAGCGCTTCTTAATAATTCAATGACTTTAACGCGTAGCCATAATAGCACAACATTTTCCATGTTATGTTATTTTACAGTCGATGACATGACGGGGGGTGAAAGATACATGATCCTCCTATGCAAATGTTATATAATTAGTAAATATTGTCACTTGGACAAAAGTGGTGCCAGCCACTTCTACATCACAACCAAGGAATCTAAAATCGACACCTTTAGTTTTTCCATGCATTCAATTTCATTCTTCGACTTTTCCTTTCATTCAAAAAAAAAAAAAAAAAAAAAAAAAAAAAAAAAAAAAAAAAAAAGAAAAAAAAGTAACAAGAAATTAAACACAGAAGCAGGTACTCTAAGAGTTAATCATGTATCATATGATATCGATACAGATTTGATCACAAAGGATAACGATAGTAACGCTAGTACGCGTCATCAGAATGCCCGAAGTATAGCGAAAAAAAAAAAATATCATATTGTTTCTCTATATATATATACGGATTTTTATAACTGGTACTAGTTGTTATCCTATTATCGACATAAATTTACGTAATCTATATAAAATATACTAATCCTTAATATACTATGTGAAAACTATGGCTTTTCGTATATCAATTTAGAAAATAAGTCAATCAACATATGACATAAGCAACATTTGTTTTCTTTTTTTTTTTTTTAATATATTCATTTCTAGAAATTAAAAATTATCGTTGTTCAAAGTACCATTCGCCCCCTGCCATCAATATTTCTTCGTTTCTTTTCTTTCTATAATCAATATAATTAATATCAATGTACATACAAATTAATTAATTTATTTCACATTAATATAAATTCGTAATTTCACGTAAAATTCTCATTATATACGTGTTTATATTAATGTAAAATGAATCGACTAAATTTACGTATATGTGTATATGAATTTTGTTCCATGTATTTGCGCAAGGGGCACTATTTATAATATTTACAAAAATTAAGAGACTAACATATACATATGTATACAGTGTATATACATGTATACAGTAACGCATGACAGACACAATATATAACGTATAAACAATACTCTTTCCTTCCATTTGTTTGCACTTACATACATTCAACAATTGATTAAGCAAGCCATAACAATACTAAAAGTAAATAAACATTGCAAGGCATAACACATACGTGTACGAGCATTACTGTCAAATTAGAAGATTAACAATAGATTCGATGAAATTAATTTGCAGTTTATGTATATATAGGTATATGTACGTATATACACAAATATATAAATATATATAATAATAGCATCTGGTCCAATGAATATTAAGTATTCATGTAAATAACCAATCATTTCTTACATATGTACATATTAGATATTAGATTTCTAACATAACAAAAGATGACTCAACGTTGATTATTGTCGATGTTCATTACGTCGCAGGCTATAATTTATGCATTAGCAACCATTTTGTGTCATATTATTCTCTATCTGAGAATAAACTCGCGACACAATGAACGTAGGAATTGTCTGCAAATGTCGAGACAAATAATCGAACAAGCGTAATAAAACGAAGGAGATAAATCTATATAATCTCAATCGGTACAGAACCTCTTATAGCGCCTCAACAACGAAACATGCATATATAATAATACTAATACTCCGCAAACGACTGAAGATGCATCATAAATACCGCGACTGGAAAAACACGGTAATTTTGCGCAAATATGAAACTTGTACAATATTCTTCAATTCTATATATATATATAGAAGAGAGTCGTTAAATGGCAGTAGGGAATCAAGTATGCTGATACGTTGTAGTGCCAAGTTCTGTCTTCTGTTCAAGCACCAGCAAATCCATATACTTCTAGTACCCTAATCTCAAAATCGCCGCTGGCACAGAGAGGTGGATTATTGAATGTAGAGCACCGATCTGTTTTTCCGAATCTTATATTTTCATCCATCCATATTGCTTGACCATCTCTAAATAAATAAAATAATTTTTAATGTAATTGACATAAATTGTACACAATATTTATAAATATTGTATTTTATCATTATATAATATATAATTTTGGAAATGAAGAATTGCTTTTTATTTTTACAAAAATATTTATTTTTTTTAAGAAAATAAGAATTATAATATATCTAATGGATTATTATTTTTTTCCATAAAAATATATTCTAGTTTTTGTATATCATGAATTTTATATATTTACACATATTACATATTTCATATCATTAACAAAATCTTACCCTCCGCCAATTGTTATCATTTTGGAATCTGCCGCCATAAATAATTCAGCTGAATGATGAACTTTAGGATCATTGTGCGAAGAATCCATACCCACCCAAGGATATTTTGCTCGTTCAGGATATAAACTAAATAAGAACGTTTCACCCGTTCCAAAATAAGCTTGTCTTTGTCCTTTATCATTTTTCATATTACGTTCACACCATCTCGTGGAGCAATACGCACCAAATACCTTAAATAAAAAAAAATGAAAAAATTAATATTAAATATTATTTCAAATGAAAACAAAAAAAAATATTATTTGAAAAAAACTTACTTCATTATTGCATGTTTTTATCATCAATAAGGTTGGTTCATGTTGCTCTACTCTTACGTAAAATGTTGTTAAAGAACAACCATGCTCTTCTGTTGTATACAATAGAATTGGTTGATACATAGTGATCCGCATAGGCAACCAAGACCATAATGTAAATAACTGTCACAAATTAAAAAAATAAAAAATTAATATAATATTAATATTATATATAATCAGTATTTATAACTGTGCAAACATTAGTTTTTAATAATTTTCTAATTGTTCATAAATACAACAAACTAAGTCACAGCAGCGGTAGATCATGCGCTTGACTGAAAAAAAAATTAATAAAATAGAAAATTATAAAGCTAAATAATATAAAAAAAGTGAAATTTATTTTTTTCATATTTTATATTTTTTTCTCTTTTATATAAATATTTATTTCATAAATTTTTCATATATAGATATTAAATTTTTTTAATAATTATCTTATAACATAATTTATTTTTCTAAAAATTGTAATAACAGTAATTACTGTAATAAAAAAAAATTCAAAAAATCAAATTAAAAAAAAGAAATATTTAGGAAAGTAATATGCTTATACAAGATGCAAAAACATCATGCAAAAGGTAATATCATTCAAATATAAAAGTGAATTGTTACAATATTATAAATTGTGATTTTAAATGAATTGAAATGATTATTTGATGAAGCAATGTAAATGGCATGATAAGAGTTTAATAAACTAAAAATACATGTACATATGACTATATACTTTTGAAGATTGAAACGATTTAAAATCATAATCACTATGAGTTTGTCACATTATTCCTTTTGAGTATTAGTTACATAAAAAAATATCTAATATATCTATGAATATAAAAAGAATGTAATAATACAAATTAGTAAAAATTGAAGAGGGGATATTTTAAAAATACTAAAAATGCATGAAAATAAAACAGAAGAAACACATGCCGAATTGCTAGCAAAAAAACTGAGCATATAATTTATCAAAAAGGAATACGAGAAAGCACTAGTTTAATCAATATAAATCAGACTATACATTATTTAATTTAATGTGTATACTCTACAAGAATATTAAACCTCAAGCAAAAAGAGAAGTACAACGAGAAGTGATAACAAAATCACAACTATAATAAAAGCTGACTTAATCAATAATTATTAGTTAATACTTAATACTGAACGTGAATAACAATTAAATGTCACTTATATCAATATTTGGCCTTTTTTTTTTTAAATTTTATGAGAAGATCTGCTAAACAATTACCATTGTTCAATCGATATATGTTGCATACTAAACTAATATCTTTTTGATAATAGTCAAAGATAATAATACCATGTAAATTAACATCCTATAGAATATATACTTCAAGGCGGCTATATACACCAATAACGACAATATCGACATGCCACAGAAAGGCGACCAACGAACTACAGAAAACTCTGTTACTGTTGAACTTTTTGTTCTTTTTTTGGATTAGTTTTGAACCGTAGTTTTGGCCGTAAGTACTTACATCAGGCATGTCTAGAATCTGGGAGCATATGCTTTGTATGGGATAAACGCCCATTGACAGAGCACGCGGTCCAGGACTGTGTGCACCCTACACCCATGATCATTAAATCCATCATCATTCCAGTAACGCAGCATGACACAAGATAACATAGAACCGTCAGTTATATTGGAGTACAGCATTGGCTGAACTTTGCATATCAGAAAATGAGAATAAATATTATACGAAACACTGGTTAAAACCATCGGAGACACAGAGCATAATAATAAGAAACATCGGCCATATTTTCGAGTTTCTCTTCTAATATCACACAAAATATAGAATATATGAATGAAATGCTCAAGAGTCACTGTTAACCAGTATAACCAATGTAATGATCTCAAAAACGAAAATTAAACGATGTAATCAATGTACTACTAAAGCATTAAAAATAATTAGTATATAAAATTAAAATGTTCGTTTTGAACATTTAGATTTTCCATATAATTATAACAATCAAATTGTGATTTGAACTGCAAATAGACTGAAATTTATAAAGCACGCTGCTGCATTCACTGATCGATTATAACTGAAGTTGCGATTTCAAGCACTTTTAACAGCTTTTTTATTTTTTTGCCTTAAGATATAAGTTTGATTATCCTATCAATCAATGATAAGCAAACACATTTTGTGTAGCTCACCAGTAACAGTCATCATAAATTAATTATAAATTGATTTCTCAACATTCTTCATAAAACATATATGTAAAGAATAAATGTTTTTAACAGAATGTACAGATATATATATATCTTATATATATATATGTATAAAATTCTTATATTGTTACATTTGGCATGTCATATATGCGAAACACTGAAAGCTAGAGAAGACCTAATAAGAAGAAGATATAAATTTTATTGGAAGAAATCTTTGTTATTTTCTAATGTTCAAAAAGGCAATAACTGCAAGTGGATAGACGCTAACAGCAACAAAGCTGGCACGATAAGTGTAACAATAGTGAGTATGAATGAATGTAACAGGTATAGTTCAGGAACAGAGGGCAGAGCACATGAAACTAACAACACATTTCCCAAAAAGATAATTATACAATACCCTGTCTTTGTATGTGTCTTCACACTCTTTCTGAAAACAAAGTGAATCATTGAACAGCTTTTGCATAATTTTGCATTCTAATACCCTAAGAAATTATTTTTTATTAATCCATCATCTTTGTCTACTTATATTATTTTACAGTAAGAAACATGAATCACATTAATTATTGATACTAAACCTTTAAACCTGCAAGTTTCTTACAAATAAAGAATCATTCGCAACATTTAAAGATAAAAATAATGAGCTCACATATATGTACAATTGTCTTATGAATATAATTTCATTTCAACTTCGAAAATAAGCAAGAGAATCAATTATTAAAAAATGTCAATATTGAGTATTATAAAATTAACAAGACATACTTCATAAGAATATAATTCGTTTCAAAAAAAGGAACAATCATAGAATTAAATAAAATCTTATAAAGCATGTATGTGAGTCCATACTTTGTTGGAAAAAAATCTGTCAAATATTCGATTTTTGGACTATTTTGAAAAAAAAAAAAAAA